GGTGATGCTAGGCTCCACTGACCCAGGCATTCGGCTGCCCTGTAGGGCTGTGTGACAGGTGACCTAGTTTGGGTCATTAACAGCAGCAGACGAGTATTTCTGCAGTGCTTTGTCCCTGATCAGTCAACTGTATCACAGCCTCTGTGACAGGCTAATAAACAGGGGCTTCTGAAAAGGACATTGAGCACTAGACAACAGCTCTGAGAGGCTTCTTGTCCAGGCCCTGCTATCTGAGATGTCCAGAACGTTTGCTGCTTTTCAGATAAGCTTTTCCACAACTCATTCTGATAACTGATGTACAAAGGCATTGTGCTTTACAGTGGACATTGTTGTTGTTTTTTTCTGTGTATGCGCTCCTTTCAGTTAAGCTTCATGCGACACTGTATAAGAGTGTTGGTGGTGCTCTTGCATCCTTTTTCTTGTTCTGCTTTTTATTATTAATTTTATGAATGTATTATTATTTGAACCCACAACCTTCCAGTTTTAAGCCCAGGGCCCTAACCTCTCTTCCACAGTGCTGCTTCCTACTGTACCATTGATGCCTTACTGTTTTTAACCATGATGTTTTAATGTGAACATGTTTACGTTTGTCCCCGTGTAAGAAGTGTCTGCAGTGGTGCAGGACTATGTGCCGGTACTGCATGCGTGTACGAGACACAGCACACAATGTACCGAATCGGTACATTGAATAGACCTCTATCATACAGAGTCATTACTGCCCTGGAGGAGTGTCTACCAGTAAACAGAAGAGAAACAATAACAAAAGCTCTGCTAAACAAATCATTCGCTTTACTGAAAACTGCAAAAGGTTCTGTACAATGTAAAACTTGAGAACAACGTGAGCCTTATTACATACTCATTACAAGTAATCCCATTTGTTTTTAGCTGTATTCAATAGCATACATCAACTGTTTTACTTATAAATAATGAACTTTGAGGTTTTTATTTAAATAGTCTATTGTTATCCTTCAAAACACCACAGTAAGAACCACATTTAAAGAAGACAAAGATCGAAGTCCAGCTTCCTTTGTCCTTTTTTGGATCTTTTAAAGAAAGTCCCTTCAAACTCCGAACTCCGTTAGTGCCTGCGTGCTTTTGTTCCTCTGGCTTCAGCTGCTGTCTGCGGGGGATCGTCATGAACTGTTCAGGAACCCCAGGCAGGGGCTGCCAGCCTGCCTACATCATAGACACCCCCCCCCGAAGAGCAGGCAGCTGGGCTTTCCGGGTCAGGTCTGAGCCCTAGCTCACCGCACATGACCCCGGAGGTCCACTGAATGTCCACTGGCTCCCAGTCTGCTAAACTGCCTGCTGCCTACTGGCTTGCCAGTGGCTTTGACTAGGCAGTGTCTCACACACACACACACGCACGAGTTACTTCCTTCACAAAAAAGGGTGGCGGCACATTCTGTTCCCTTGTGTTCCCACTGTCGTTTTGTAGGACTCGGGGCGTCTAAATGCACGGGGGGAAATCGGCTGACTGTGTTGCACACTGCCGTAAGATGGCACGGGCGGCGTTGCTCGCTCGGGACCGAGATCGAAGCGCAGCGCTGGCCTAGGCCAACTGGAACAAGGCCTGTAGTGCGTGCGAAGCAGCCTCTCGGCTGTGGTCCGGCAACGTCCTGGTTGGAGTGTCTCTGCGTCCGGACTGAGGGCTTGAGGGGTCCCAGTGCGGGGTGCATCATGTTCCCGGCTGAGCCCCGCCTTCTCTCTTCGAGGGCGGCTGGCACCTGGGGCTGTGTGCCCCTGGAGTTGGTCTACGTGGAATGGTGCTCTTCTCCAGCCTGGGACCTGGGATGCTCCACTGCTTGCAGTTCAGGCAGCCTCTGTGAGAGTCCCTGCAGGAGCGGAGCGAGGGCTGCTCCTCTCTCTTCTGGATGCCTCCCTTCAACGTGTTTCAGCAGTATCCAGGACCCAGGTTATAGTCCTCTCGTCCATTCACATGCCCCCCTTTAGTTCAGAGGCCCTTGGAGGAGCCTTGCTTTTGCCTGATGACCCATTCTCCACTCGGGTTGGTGTTGTACAGGTCTAGGAGGTAGGCCTCTGGATCCAAACAGTGCTCACCTGTGTAGAATAAAAAGACACAGATCTTAAACGCTGGGGATTTAAAATCTTCTCTCTCTTTCCCCCACTTAAGGTACTGCAGCCTTGGCATGCAGTTACATGGCTGTTCTGCTTTGCCCATTTAAGATTTCTGTTTTTGGTTCATTAAAAGAAAAAAAAAATTGCTTTGCAACAGGCAAAAGATAAATGCTGCAGTTCTTGTGCAATTTGATATACGATCCTGTTTTCCGTCCCGTGATCTTGCTGACTTAAGTTTTTTAATCTGAGGGGTCCCCCCTTAACTGATCAAAAAAGAAGAAATAGTCCAGAATATTTATGCGTTCAGTATTCCTGGTTTTCAGCTTCACAGAATTCTCGGCAATCGGACTGTCTCTTATTCCAGGCACGTTACAGTTTCCCAGCTCAAAAATCGAAGTGTGGACACTCGCTGTGGACTTACCAATATTGCCGCCCACTTCATAAATGGCACAATCAGGGTAGACAATGGAGCCATTTCTGGAGAGAAAAGAAAAAAAACCACACAGTGCTATTTTCTCCTTTATCAGTGACTTTCACGCGGGCCTAAACTCCCCTCGAGCAGTAAGGTGAAGTAGGGTCATCTCAAACTTGGCCAACCAGTAACCACTGTATTCAGTCCATGCCAGCTCTTTTGTCCCAGTGCTGCAGGGAGTTTGCTAGAGCTGCTCTAAGCGTTGCTTAATGGGCATGTGGCCCCACCTGGGGGCAGGAGCAGGTGTGACTGACTGCTGGGGGCAGGAAGAGAAAGGAAGCCAAGTTCTGTTGGTAATGTGGGGGAGTGACCGCCCTCACACTGGCAGGACAGCACTGACCATGAACCCTGTGGCTCCTGGTGCAAACAAGGCTTGGGTTTTCAGCAGCGTCGGGTCCGCTGGGGAGGTTTACTGGAGGAAGTGGAGGGTCTGTCCCTGAATGAGGGGCCGTGTGCCGCCGCCGGGGGCCACGTACCGCCGCAGAAGGTTCCTGCCCTTGTCGGAGCTGCGCAGGTCGTGGTGGAACTGGGCCAGCAGGTCAGCCGCGCGGGAGTCGACATTCAGGGACACCTCCATGGAGCTGCTGAACACCTCCCCCACCTGGATCTTGACCGTCCGGCTGGGCTGCAAGAGAGAGGGCACTCGGGTTCAGACAGGAGCCCGGTACCCAGAGAACAGCAGCTTCTAACCTGAGAGCTTGGATCACCCTGCCACAGTAGATGAAGCAAGGGGCGCCGTCAGTCATGCAGGCGTGCCTGTTTCAAATTAGGATCAGGAGACCACTTGCCTGGTGGCTAACTGTTCAAAACATGCACAAGGTGCCCTTTTCGGAAAAACAAATCAGCTTTCCCTTATATTTTGTCCGCCTTAGAAAAACTTTGCCGAAGCATGGACAAGAAAGAAGGAAGTAGGAGCTGAGACGTCCAGGATGTGCCTATGAAGAAGACCAGAGGGCTGGCCAGCGCTCCGGGCGGAACAGACCCTACCTCGGTGGAGTTCTTGTCCGGTTTGTCCCGGCTGTCTGTGTGGATCTTCCTCAGCAGGCTCCTGATGCGCTTGTCGTAGAACTGGTAGCGCCTGCTGCTGTTCTCGTTCAGCTTCCTCACCTGGCTCATCAGGAAGTTGGGGATCTGAGGAGAAAAGCCAAGGGTTAGCCCAGATGTTTGCCCAGATGCTGTGCTACTGTATATATCTTTCGTCATCCTGGTTTGGATTTGATGTTAAAGGTTTTGATTACCTGATGGAAATTTTTAAGTAGGGGT